CAACAGTGGCGAATTTATGTAATTTTCGAAGGTCTTTTCCCTCAGATGTTTTAGATAAGCATAAATGGATTCTCTAAAAGGACTATGGATCATGGCTATTATGTTTCCAAATAGCCATAGGGTATAGAATGTCCTGGTGACGATCCTACGCACTGGTTGTCCTTGGCCTATCCCGCATCCTATTTAAAAGAAGTCCTTTGAACTAACACATATAAAGACATACACAGGTCGACAAAAAAAAAAACATAGTTACACTCGAAGAACTAGATGTTACACCTGACCCATTAAAAATACGAATGCAACTAAATTTAATATTGTACAATTAAACAGTTTCTCTTTTGCAGAACTGGATGCAATATTTATGTGTCATATTAAGTACGCGAATAGACGGTTTGGGATATTTTATTTAAAATCGGGCTATTTCAATTGCTTAGGTTTTATTGAACTTATCTCCAATTCTTCTAAGGCCACAGTTAAGAACATCTAGAAAGTACAGTAGTTTGCCCGCCATTTGTATCACTGAATGAGTGCCATAATTTTATCGCAGACAAAAGAAGCAATATTATAAATCTCATGTTTTTGTTGCTTGTTATAAATTAAATTTGTAAAATGTTTTTCACTTTATTTTTCTTTCTAGTTTATTACCTGTTATGTTTATTTTATATATTATTTTTTATTTTATATGTTTTTTCTTGATTGTTTATTTAAAAGTACTGGTTCCTCTTCTATTGAGCTTACGATCTCGTCACTTGGGTAAAAAAGTTTTTTGTCATAGAAGTTATTTTTAAAATAACTTCTGGGGAGAATATCACAGACAAAAAACAAGGGAACTGATGAGGATTGGTGGCTCTTTCCGAAACCTAGGTATTTTTGTAGGCACCCCTATAGTTCCCGATGCCTGGAAAATGGGCAGGGTGGTCCCGCTACTGAACAGGCCGATGCCACTTTTGTCACCAGTAGCAAAGACGCTTGAGGCTTTACTCCTCCCCAGCATAAGAGAATGTTTCCCAGTAGCTGATCATCAACACGGATTCCCAAAATTGCATAGCATAACGATAGATTTAGCTTTACACGCCATCTCCACACATATCAGCAGAGAACTCAAACAGAACAGGCCGTGCGACAGAACAGTTATGGTGGCACTTGATTTATTAAAAGCTTTTGATACAGTCAATCATGCCACACTGTTCGAGTACCTTAAACGCACCGACCTCCGGCCAAATTTGAAACGATGGATTGTAAACTACATATGTGGACGCCAGTCGTACGTGGAATTCAGAAATAAGGAATCGAGCTACCGTAGAGTGAAACAGGGAGTTTCCCAAGGTGAGGTGATATCTTCGGAACTGTTTAACCTCTACCTTTTTGACATTCCACGCCCTCCAGACGGCATAGAGATAATATGTACGCAGATAATTGTGCACTCGTGGCGTCCAGACCCATCAGAGATGACATATGCGATCATGCTTACTTAGTTGATCTAACCGCCCTTTTCACTGCGATGAATATAAATAAAAGAAATTATTGTTTTTCTCCCAAAGATTTATTATGTCATTAATTTTACAATTTTCATTCATGTTTTCAATTTTTGTGTAAATGTTGACATTTTGAACGTATTTTTGTATTTTTCTATATTTAAATTCTACTGGAGAGACACTTGTCAAAAATTTTATCTGTCGATACAAACATTTTGAAAATATTGCCTCTTTTGTTTCCTGTTCTCTGTGGAAATTTTAACTTGTGAACGAAATGCCCACTTCGGTTGAGAGAGAAAACAAAAATTACTTTCGTTTGAATGTACACACACCATTCAACATTGTAGTTTTCATTCATAACTTTCAGTCTTCCCAAAATTTTGAAAAATTTCATTAAATTTTTCTATTTTGAATTTTTAAATGTCATAATTTATTTTTTCGATTAATGCTCTCATTTTTAAGGATGGCGCACATTTCATCTTAGTTCTGAGAGTGATTTAATGGAACAAAAAACTAAATTCTTTGTTCGCTCAGCAAATTTTGTGTGGGGAATTAAGTAGATATTTCTTAATTAATGGTCGAACAAGGAATAGAAAGCGAATCACGTGCAATGTGAACCTAGCATAAGTTTAGAAGTAGGAAAAACGTTCTCAAGTCTCTTGCCGGCAGTACTTGGAAAGCTGATAAGGAAACCTTTTTGACCTCTTACAACGCGATAGGCCGGTCTGTGGTAAAGTATGCGGCTCCGGCCAACGTTAGAGCTACGCAGTGGAAAAATATTCAGTCCTGTCAGAATGCCGCCCTTAGAACCGAAACAGGGTGCCTCCACATGACACCTGTCGACCACCTACATGAGAAGGTGAAGATCTTAACGTTGCAACAGCATCATAAAATGCTGCCAATGCAATACCTGATTGGGTGTTACCGACAGAGCCATCCGAATCACCATCTGGTGGATAGGCAACCTCCGCCCAGGCACGTAAGGAAAGACCTTCATGATCTAGAGAGAGGGGTACAAAGGTATAAGAGCCTCTAGATCAAGCGGGACTGAATAGTTTTCACTCTAACGCGGTCTCAGAAGTTATGGAATGATATAGAGTGAATACTGTATTAGGAGACCATCCCCTTCAATCCAAAAAATGAGCTTAAATACGTGGATGATATATTTTCCGGTGCACATTCAATTTCCAATACAATTCAATCCAAAAATAAAAATGAGCTTAAATCCGCTCTACCATCAAATGTTATCTCCCTTCGCAAATGGACAGCGAATTCAATAGACGATCTATGATCTACCAAATGATAATTTTTTGATGATTTCCTAAACTTCGACATCGATTTCCATGCAATGCTCGTGTTCCTACACAAAAAAGGGAGATTCTGCCTCAGCTCTCGAAATTATTCCATCCCCAACTTAAAAAAAACTTAAATTTCCAAATATATTTTGATAACTCCTACTTTGTAGTTCTTGTAACGTTTTCGATTTCCACTGGCTATAATAATATAGTGCACATAAATCAAGTAAAGACATGGATCATTCTGTTTCGTTTATTCGTAGATTCTAACAACGAGCTGATTGCTTTAAACTGTATAAGTTTCTTTTCCATTTACATACCAAATTTTCTTTATTTCCTCCTTTCTGTCGCCGTATATAAATTTCTGGTTCTATTCCGCCATTTTATATATACATCTATATTTTTCACTTTCACATTCAAAGTTTTTTCGTCATTTGGGAATATCCCTTTTTGACAAATCTGTTTACATCCCAAAGATACCATGTTTGATTATAATGTAGCGACTTGATTTCAACAGCCATAGCTTCCATCCATTCGTTACTGTCAGACCTTAAGGAAGAACCTTTGTATGAAAAGGGATCATTAGCACAATAAACCCGGTAACCCGGTTCTTTTAAAACAGACACAAACCCATGAAATTCGTCTTCATCTTCTCCACTTGATATGATATCCTTATCAGAATTTGTAATGGTACACTTACTATATTAGTGTAGGAGGAGTTCTATTTGTTTTCATTGAATCAGTGTTCTTGTGTCGATTATCGAGCTCAATAAATTCCACATCTCTGCTAATAAAAATGGCATCTAGTCAATGTAGTCTTTTATCATAGTCATACATCCGCGTGAATAATCTCCAAAAGAGATATGGAATTTCTTTTAATTTACGTACAGAACAACTCATACACATTTCTCCTTCTTTTGGCGAATCAGACGACATTTTCCAATTCCACTTGGCATTACTTTTGTTGTTGGCGGTGTTTCTCATTGTATTTCATTGTAATTTTCTCATTATAAATACAGGTCGATCGAACGTCATCTCAGCAGAGATCAGGCGGGAACTTGGAAACTAAGGTTAATCTGCTAAAAATTATTCTCCTCATACTTTGTAAGAATGAGCAAATAAGAATCATTACGAATGTATAAAGTCGAAAGAAAATCCAATAATCGATCACTCACCAAAGAACTATCAATTAAAAACTAGTGGCTCCCAATTAGCCCAAAGCTGAAACTTATAGTTGGTTTTCGTTTATCCATTATGCAACATTAGTGGATTCGATTTGAAATTTTTCTTAAAAATGGCTAAGGCTGCATGTTTTTTACTTGGCCTTTTTTCCACTTTGCCACTGAAACTTTAATTTTGTGTTCAATTTGGTTTTATTTCACTTTTATAGGTACGTATAAAAAATCAAAGTAAGTATAAAAATTCAAGGTAAGTATAAATTCAAGGTAAGTATAAAAATTCAAGGTAAGTATAAATTTTCAGGGTAAGTTTAATAAACTCAAGGTAAGTATACAATTTTTGCTTTCAAAGGTGAGTATAATTTTCACTAATAAAAACTTTGTGTATTTATGTACTTTGACTTTAATTACGGCGGGGGATAGCAACGATCGCTTTTAATAATCAAACTTCGAATGACTTCTTCTTTTTTGTCAACGTCACAGCTAGCCTGTTTGTAACTGTGACGTTTCCAGTGCTGAATGGAATTTGGCAAAAAGAGGACAAACAAAACAACAACATGCATTGCAATTATTCTATTGCATGTATGTGTGTCTGTTTTGTTGTCTAACGCATCCCGCTACGTTACAGTGATGTGTTATTAAAATAGCACACCCACTATTGGTGAAAAATATAGCACACCATATTTATATCAATATTTGTACATTCATGTACACTGCATGATGTTTTAAACTCTTTTCTTTTTTGTCATTTTGTTTGTTACTCCTCGAAATAAATTTTTTAGACTCCATATAGTGTACGTTCTTAATAAGTGTAAAGTTCTATGTCATTTTTTTTAATTTGTGGGAATTACTTCTTAAGTTATGTAAATATAAATAAAAAATCATAATAATAAAATTTTATTTTCGTATAAATTCTTTTGAACCTTCGGAATCATTATATGCTTGTTATATTATTTGGTGTCAAAAGTAGCAATTTTGCAGGTAAATAACTTAAATGACAGATATATTTTCCGTGGACTGTATATTTGAGTGATATTACACATTAAAAACCAAATTAACTTTTTAATTATACAGTTAGCTAGACCAAAACAATTCTTTTCATATGTTACATATTACGGAATATATTTTATTTTGGATTTTAGAAGAATTTATAGACATGATGGAATGATTCCACATTAGTTGTCACAGAAAATTATCTATCGTCAACCAGTTAGAATGTTGTATGGTTCCTTATTTATGCATTTTCTAAAATAACGAGATAAAAGTGGAAAACATTTATTATGAATAGAAATATTAAGAAAACAATAAAAAGTGCAACAACTTATTTCACTTATGACATACCTTATTTTGTTTCGCCATATCCAGTGCTTCTTTTTTGCTACGTAGAGCGCAATCTTCCAATGTTTCTGCAGCTTCAAACATACCTTGCCTGCGGTATAATGCGCCCAAATTCTTTAATATTTTGGTAACCGTTGGTGAATCAACTTTTGCGGCTTTGTGCCATCCTCCATATTCATCATATGGGGTATTTTCTCTGTTGTCGTACTTGTGTTCTTCTCGTTCTTCTGCGACCAATTAAAGAACAAGTAGATAAATATATAACAAAACATACTGGCTCCTAAATTTGGAAAGGTATAATTGTTAAGTTTGTAAAAAACGTGTATAGGATGGCCTGGAGAAGGGAGTATAATATTAGGTTACTCCGGGATTCTGTCGCCGCCCTCAAAATTCAACAGCTGACGATCACAGGTTGAACACTATATTGGTATCTTTGCTTTGAAAACGTCCACACGCTTTCCGGCGGACGCAAAGAAGTTTCCTATACATATTTAAACATTTTATCAATCCTCTTTTCTCTCAAATGCCCCAATCATTGCAAAGTATTTCCAATCCTACATTGTTTCTGGCTTGATAAAACTTGGTGTTCGTTCTGTGTTAGTAAGCAATTTCATGCACCGTCTTACTTTTGGTTAAGAGCTTTTTTCTCGATTAATCCTTAACACTATCTCCTATTTGAAAAAAAGAAACCATGAACTTAGTATTTTCGTGTTTCATTTACACTAAACAAACTTACTTTTTATTAAAACTCTAATTTTTTCAAATTTAAAATTTTCGCTGTTTTCAACATACACCTCTGAGTGCAAGACTGTTATTTCAGAATTTGTTTCCATGGTTCTTACGAAACTTTTTAACGTTTTTCGTATATTTTGTATTTCACTCCCAACAATACTTTTTATTTTATCCTCTAGGTCTCTACCTCCTTCTTCCTTGCCGTTCCTGGTATCGAGAAGCGTTCCCCGGCACTTTCTAATTCTGCAACAGTATTTACTACTTCAACTGTATCTAGACCACGAATAATCATAGGATATAAGGTTTTAATCACCCATATTTCTTTCTTATTCCTCGGATTTTTCATTGTAGGATCACTTTTATACTGACTCAATATCGCATGGAAAAACATTTGTACAAACAAGGTACACTCCTTTTTTGTCTTTGTAGAACATTATTTATTATTTTTGTATATATATTTTACAAATGAACTATATATTGATAATAGATTCAATTTTTTTTGTCTGTTCCTTATTTCTGTCCCTTATTTTTGATTGAAGATTACGTTTTCTTTCAATTAAATTGTTGTATAATAACAGAAAATTTCAAATAGGGGCATTCTTATTGACTAGCTTGTAATTGTTAAAGCAATTGGATAAAATCCCCGCTTGTACCCTGATTCGCAACAGTGGCGAATTTATGTAATTTTCGAAGGTCTTTTCCCTCAGATGTTTTAGATAAGCATAAATGGATTCTCTAAAAGGACTATGGATCATGGCTATTATGTTTCCAAATAGCCATAGGGTATAGAATGTCCTGGTGAAGATCCTACGCACTGGTTGTCCTTGGCCTATCCCGCATCCTATTTAAAAGAAGTCCTTTGAACTAACCCATATAAAGACATACACAGGTCGACAAAAAAAAAAAAACATAGTTACACTCGAAGAACTAGATGTTACACCTGACCCATTAAAAATACGAATGCAACTAAATTTAATATTGTACAATTAAACAGTTTCTCTTTTGCAGAACTGGATGCAATATTTATGTGTCATATTAAGTACGCGAATAGACGGTTTGGGATATTTTATTTAAAATCGGGCTATTTCAATTGCTTAGGTTTTATTGAACTTATCTCCAATTCTTCTAAGGCCATAGTTAAGAACATCTAGAAAGTACAGTAGTTTGGCCGCCATTTGTATCACTGAATGAGTGCCATAATTTTATCGCAGACAAAAGAAGCAATATTATAAATCTCATGTTTTTGTTGCTTGTTATAAATTAAATTTGTCAAATGTTTTTCACTTTATTTTTCTTTCTAGTTTATTACCTGTTATGTTTATTTTATATATTATTTTTTATTTTCTATGTTTTTTCTTGATTGTTTATTTAAAAGTACTGGTTCCTCTTCTATTGAGCTTACGATCTCGTCACTTGGGTAAAAAAGTTTTTTATCATAGAAGTTATTTTTAAAATAACTTCTGGGGAGAATATCACAGACAAAAAACAAGGGCACTGATGAGGATTGGTGGCTCTTTCCGCAACCTAGGTATTTTTTTAGGCACCCTTATAGTTCCCGATGCCCGAAATGGGCAGGGTGGTCCCGCTACTGAACAGGCCGATACCACTTTTGTCACCAGTAGCAAAGACGCTTGAGGCTTTGCTCCTCCCCAGCATAAGAGAATGTTTCCCAGTAGCTGATCATCAACACGGATTCCCAAAATTGCATAGCATAACGATAGATTTAGCTTTACACGCCATCTCCACACATATCAGCAGAGAACTCAAACAGAACAGGCCGTGCGACAGAACAGTTATGGTGGCACTTGATTTATTAAAAGTTTTTGATACAGTCAATCATGCCACACTGTTCGAGTACATTGAACGCACCGCACCCCGGTCAAGTTTGAAACGTTGGATTGTAAACTACATATGTAGACGCCAGTCGTATGTGGGATTCAGAAACAAGGAGTCGAGCTACCGTAGAGTGAAACAGGGAGTTTCCCAAGGTGAGGTGATATCTTCGGAACTGTTTAACCTCTACCTTTTTCACATTCCACGCCCTCCAGAAGGCATAGGATAATATGTACGCAGATGATTGTGCGCTCGTGGCGTCCAGACCCATCAGAGATGACATATGCGATCATGCTTACTTAGTAGATCTAACCGCCCTTTTCACTGCGATGAATATGAAGATATCCGCCACTAAATCGAGGGACACACTTTTACCTCATGGACTGCGGAGATGAGGCTATCTTTGAATGTGCAGGTCGATGGAGTTGTAATTCCGACCACCAACTACCCCGAGGTCTCAAGGGTCACATTCGATAACCTTAACAAGTTGTCCCCGTTGCACTTTCAATCAAGTTGTTCGCTCTCAGTATTAGGTACACAAATTAACCCGTTCATACGGCACGATTCGAAATTCATAGTAAAATAATTCCTTTTTCAAAAAATTTGTTTGTTGATTTTAATGGGAATTTATACGAAAAAACATGAAATTCTCACTAATATAAATAAAAGAAATTATTGTTTTTCCCCCAAAGATTTATTATATCATTAATTTTACAATTTTTATTCATGTTTTCAATTTTTGTGTAAATGTTGACATTTTGAACGTATTTTTGTATTTTTCTATGTTTAAATTCTGCTGGAGAGACACTTGTCAAAGATTTTATCTGCCGATACAAACATTTTGAAAATATTGCCTCTTTTGTTTCCAGTTCTCTGTGGAAATTTTAACTTGTGAACAAAATGCCCACTTCGGTTGAGAGAGAAAACAAAAATTACTTTCGTTTGAATGTACATACACCATTCAACATTGTAGTTTTCATTCATAACTTTCAGTCTTCCCAAAATTTTGAAAAATGTCATTAAATTTTTCTATTTTGAATTTTTAAATGTCATAATTTATTTTTTCGATTAATGCTCTCATTTTTAAGGGTGGCGCACATTTCATCTTAGTTCTGAGAGTGATTTAATGGAACAAAAAACTAAATTCTTTGTTCGCTCAGCAAATTTTGTGTGGGGAATTAAGTAGATATTTCTTAATTAATGGTCGAACAAGGAATAGAAAGCGAATCACGTGCAATGTGAACCTAGCATAAGTTTAGAAGTAGGAAAAAGGTTCTCAAGTCTCTTGCCGGCAGCACTTGGGAAGCTGATAAGGAAACCTTTTTGACCTCTTACAACGCGATAGGCCGGTCTGTGATAAACTATGCGGCTCCGGCCAACGTTAGTGCTACGCAGTGGAAAAATATTCAGTCCTGTCAGAATGCCGCCATTAGAACCGAAACAGGGTGCCTCCACATAACACCTGTCGACCACCTACATGAGAAGGCGAAGATCTTAACGTTGCAACAGCATCATAAAATGCTGTCAATGCAATACCTGATTGGGTGTTACCGACAGAGCCATCCGAATCACCATCTGGTGGATAGGCAACCTCCGCCCAGGCACGTAAGGAAAGACCTTCATGATCTAGAGAGGGGTACAAAGGTATAAGAGTCTCTTGATCAACAGGCATTTCAAGCGGGACTGAATAGTATTCACTCTAACGCGGTCTCAGAAGTTATGGAAGGATATAGAGTGAATACTGTATTAGGAGACCATCGCCTTCAATCCAAAAAATGAGCTTAAATACGTGGATGATGTATTTTCCGGTGCACATTCAATTTCCAATACAATTCAATCCAAAAAAAATGAGTTTAAATCCGCTCTACAATCAACTGGATACTCCCTTCGCAAATGGACAGCGAATTCAATAGACGATCTATGATCTACCAAATGATCATTTTTTGTGTGATGATTTCTAAACATCGACGAATTAGCACAGCAAAAATGCTAGGAATTCGTTGCAATGCTCGTGATCCTACACAAAAAAGGGAGATTCTGCCTCAGCTCTCGAAATTATTCCATCCTCATTATAAACTTTAATTTCCAAATATAATTTGATAACTCCTACTCTGGTGTTCTTGTAACGCTTTAGATTTCCACTGGCTAAAATAATATAGTGCACATAAATCAAATAAAGACATGGATCATTCGTTTTCGTTTATTCGTAGATTCTAACAACGCTTGCTTTTGCTCAAAAGAACATAATTTTTAAACATAAAATTTTTAGTCTTTATTATTTAATAGTTTTGTTCTATGTCAGCATATAACTGATCTAATATAATATTGGTTTCAATGTTTATTTTAAGCAAGTCAATAACTCAAATAAAGAAACAACTCGACTGGTTTCACAATTGCATGGGCTATTGGCTGAAGTATTTTATTGCTTACTTTGCATTAATGCTAGTTGTATTGATATCCAAATGTATAAATGCCAAGCGAAAATAAACATTCTTGGTAGATTACAAGAAATTGTAAACATATCAAGGTTACACAATTCGAGTGTTGTATATATCCACTTTTATTTATATTAATAAACATTTTTTGGTGACGCCGACGTGATCCTGACAAGGATTACTAATTCACTTATACATTTTGAATTTCCCCCCACCAGTGGTAAGGAATTAGAAATATTTATTTGTGATAGGAGCTAGTTACGTACAAATAGCACCATCCAAGAGCCAGAAACATCTAGAGAAGAAGCCAATTCCTACATCAAGAACCATCTGGATCAACTGATAGTTAATCGGGACAAGGCGGACACAGTATGGATCTATCTACAGTAATAGAGCAATAACAAGCAGCAATTGCCGAATTGAGGAAGGCCACTGTGAACGTAAAAAGGCTCCACTGGAAAGAAGGACAGCGAAGTTCTACGCCAAAAAGTTAAAGGAGATGGAAGCACTCTGGGAAGAGATCGATCGCAATGAAAACAAAATTCGTGAAGATCCTGCGGCAGAGTCACATTTCCATATCACCAATAACGAATACCAAGTCATTGGTGAAGAGTACAGAGCTGCAATCGACAACATTGAGGCAGACTTTAAAAGAGGCAAAGGACAAATGCCTTAGAAACCGCTTCCCGCAACAAGGGAGGGGGTTCAAAAACAAACTAGTCAGTTTACTGCAACCAGCACTGTGGCTGCATTACTGAGACCCCCCTACTGGTGGGGTACGATGCATCAGCATACGTTCTCTTAGAGGAAGAGACGTTAAGGTTCAAAGAAAAAATATCGACGCTAACACAGGTCGATCATTCGTAGTCTCAGCAGAGATCAGGCGGGAACTTGGCAAATCAAGTTAATCTGCCAAAAATTGCAATTAATGGGGATTATTCGAAGTGGCAATCGTTTGCTGACATTTTTGGGAAAATGATCAACGAGCAAGTCTTGCCACAAGTCTAAAAAATGTGGTATCTCAAGGCCAACGTAACTGGGGAAGCCGAGAAACTCATAAGGCACTTCGAGTTGACCGAGGCGAATTACGACATTGCCTGGAAGACACTCCAAGAGAGGTACAACAACAAGAGAGCTCAAGTGTCAACTATACTTGAGAGAATGCTAAACCTGCCCAACATGTCTGGCGATAGCAGATCAGTGAAGGACTTTCATGACAGTCTTCATGAATCGTTATGGCATTGGAGGGTCTTGGAGTAAAGCCAAAAGAATGGGATCCACTCTTAATCCACATCCTAACAAAGAGGATGGACAAGAATACTCATGTGTTCTATGAGCAGTCGATTTTGGATTGCAAAGAACTTTAAACGATGGAGCATTTCATGAAATGTTTGAGGAGTCGCTTCGAATCATTAGAAGATGTCAATGGGATTCAGAAAATCAAACCGTCAGCAACGACTGCTTCCACCACGATCCGTAGATGTCACATGTGCAAAGGTGACCACCCCCTATATTACTGCGAACAGTTCTTGGCAATGACAGTGCCCGACAGACAGAAATGGGTTGCTAGACACAAGATGTGTCTAAATTGCTTCAAGGATGACCACCAGGCAAAAACGTGCACACGGGGGAAGTGTCAATAAAACCACAATACACTTTTGCATTTTTCAACGAGGCCACAAGTAGAGAACAAGTCAACAGATTTGTCAGTTCAGCAGCCTCCAACAGTAGCATCAGCGAATAGATCCCAATCATACGTACTCCTTGCAAACGCACGGGTTGCGATCAAGGCAAATAATGGAAGAAGCTATGAGTTTAAGGCGATTCTGGATTCCGGTTCACTGATTAATCTGGTGTCAGAGCGACTAGTGCAGAGGCTGGTTATATAACCCATTCAAGCATCGCTCTGTATCGAAGGTGTTGGCGGAAGATCGAGAACCGCAAACCACACGGTCAATGTGGAGCTTCAGTCACTGAACAGCAAATTCAGAACGCGCCTAGAAGCTTTCGTGTTACCAAATATAGTGCCACCCCAACCTGTAATGTAAATTCCGGTATGTCATTATTTCTTAACGTACTATTCACTATTATATAGTACTGTACACAGTGTATCTTTACACCAACCAACAACACGAAATAATCATTATTCATTCAATAACTACCTGGTTCTCAGCTGACTTATCGCGTAGGCATCGTGACGACGATGATAGACTCCTAAATTGTTTTCATCTGTGACCTCCCTCGATTTAACTTGAACTTTTTGTAATACAACACACAATTTTTATTGAATATAGTATTGCTAAAGAAAAGTCCAATAAATTTTATTCGGAATCTTTAAAATTTTCACAACTGAAATAAAACGCAATATTTAAAGCATGTAACAAAAAATATATATGAATAAATTTCGTAAAAAGTGTATTATTGTGATACCGTGTGGGTTTTTTATACCCCCCACCATACAATAGAGGGTATATTAATTTGTTATTCCGTTTGTAACTCTTCGAAATACTCATGTCAGACCCAACAAAGTATATATTTTCTTGATCAGTGTAAAATGCTAAGTGGATTTAGCGATGTCTGTCTGTCTGTCTGTTGTAAACACGCTATCTTTCGAATGAATTGAGATAGATGGCTAAAATTTTGGACACGTGTTTAGTTTTCCAGTAGGCAGGTTAAGTTCGTGAATGGGCCATGTAGGTCTACGTTTTCATATAGCCCCCATATAACGGTACCTCCCGATATTCGGTATTTTGATGATTTTAGCGACATTATTCACCGGAATTGTTTCAAATTTGGTATTTGAGGTTCGAATTGGATACTACACCCTAAGACAGAAAATTGTCTATGCTGGTCCAGGTCTTCGTATAGGCCCCAAATATTAGTACATCCCTATATTCGGTATTTTGACGATTTTAGGTACAATACCTACCAAAATTGTTTGAGATGTGGTATTTGAAGTTCGTAATGGATACTACAGCTTGTGACAGAAAATTTTCTTTGCAGGTCCAGGTCTTCGCACAGCTCCGATATAACGATACTTCCGTATATAAGACATTCTGATGATTTTAGCTTCATTATTCACCGTTTATTTTAAGTTTCGAATTTGAATATGGTAATGGCTTATGGCAAACAATGCTTATGTAGGCCCACGTCGAATACACCTAAATATAACGGCTATATTCGGTATTTTTAAAAATTTAACAGAATTTTTTAAGGATTTTATTTTTTGAAAATTTCCAAATTCGTTGCAAATGGTGGAGGATATTAAAAGTTCGGCCCGGCCCGGAACTTACTGCTTTTCAACTTGTTTTTATCTTTTTTTTTTCATCTTCAGCATACTTAACCTTTTAATTCAAAACCCGCGTGGCTAATTTGAAAAGGTTAGAAACACGGGACTCTCAGAGCGAGTGCCGAGGTTTTCGGAGGGTATTATGTACACGTTGCAGTTCCAAAGTAGCCATCTGTAAGGTCAACCAAGTAAACGGTGTGTAGCCCTGCAGAAATTTTATCAAAAATAATCACCGAAACCTCCAGAATTTACAATTTCCCCTGCAAGTTCGACGCTCATTTTATCCAAACGTAAAGCTAAAACCCAATACCAATTAATACTCGAACGAAATTGTTCTGCTTCCATCCACACCGCACCAATTTCAAATATTCGATCTGAAACGCTACTCACGGAATAAAATTATTGGCGTTGCTTCTGTTGGTCTCGGGCTTCAAGAGCTTTCTCCATTAAAACACCACTAAGTATGCAGAACCCGAGACAACGTCACAAATTTACCCCGAAAGAAAAAGTACCTCCTACCCTTAACATAGAGGCATAACCAGAGAGTGTATCAACGATCCATGCTACCGAATTAGTAAGAAGTCTGACTAATTTTAAACTCATTACCTAAATCAACCATTGTCTATATGATTATTATCCATGGAACATCCTGAAGACACAGGTTTTTGCATTCAAACAGAGTTCCCAAAATCTAGTTGAAATCATCAAAATAATTACTTTATCTCAAACCACTTTAATTTACTAGGTTATTTAATTTATCAATCATCATATTTAAGATAAAAAAAGTAAGATCACCTGCAAAGCAAAATAGCTGCAGCAGCAACATGTAAGTGGTGAGTTGTACCAATAAACATCTATTTTTTGTTGTGATAATGATTTTTGCTTTGCAATCATTGATTGGAATTTGTGATGAATGATTGTTTTGCATAGCAACAAGCAAACCAAGCGATCAGACCTTATTGTTTTTGTTTTTCTTGGTTCTAATTTTTACTTTGTTTGTTACTTCCTTACTTCCCAACTGAAGTTTGCTTGTTTTTTTTTTTAAGCTGTGTGCTACAGTCATTCGGACGTACTCGTCAATCAATCGCATTATTTGTTACTTAATATAATAATTAAATATTGTTGAATCATGAAATTTATAATTAGTGTATCATATTTTTACATAGTGGATATTAAACATAGTTTTGAATTAACTGGTTAGTTTTATATCATAAATAGAAATCCATGTATATATACTTTATAGAATAAATATTGAATTTGTCATGAAGTTCTAGATTTCTCATTAGTTTCTATCGGGTGTGAACACGTAACAAACTAATGATCAATTGTAGGGACTTTAGACAAAATCGAACATGGGTGCATATCTAAAGTCAAAGGTAGGATGGGTATTGAGCACCGTCTCCCGAATATCCGAGGAGAATAGTTGATGTGGGGATTGATAATTTTGTGTTTTCCTCTGTTTAATTGATCCACTGGGGAGTTTCAACAGTCATCCGAAATATGGTAGATTAATTGTTTTTTTAGTTAGTTTCCATAGTATCAAAAGGAAGTCTTTAATAAATATTTATGTGTAACCATTGCTTTGATTTAAGGTGAGAGAACAAGAATCACCCCCCCCCCCCCCCCTTGCCGACTGATGGCTAGCTTGTTCAATGAATCCTCCACCCTGAACATAGAATTAATTGGTAACATTCATTATATCACAAATGGTTCATTACATAATTTGGCGCCCATATCACCAATAACGAATACCAAGTCATTGGTAAAGAGTACAGAGCTGCAATCGACAACATTGAGGCAGACTTTAAAAGAGGCAAAGAACAAATGCCTCAGAAACCGCTACCCGCAACAAGGTTCAAAAACAAACTAGCCAGTTTACTGCAACCAGCAGTGTGGCTG